TTAGATCAGTCATCACAAGTGGCGAGGCGAGTTCAGTGTGAACCAGTAATCAGCGATGCGCAAAAAACCGATTGACTGGCCACGTTGACAGAGAAGGCAGATGAGTGATCATGGCATCGCTGGGAGGCAGGCTCCTACACACTTTCTAGAGAAGCAAATGCTAACTTATTAAAATTTGATTAAAAATTCAAATAAAATCATTTAAGAATAAAAGTGGAAATGAAATTTATAAACATCTAGTTATTTTCCAGCGGACGAGTACTCACCAAAGCAGATACAGCGTTGTTTATTAAGAATTTGCAAATTTAAGTTTATTCCAAAGATTCTTGTTCTCCGTTTTGCCTTTGTTGTGCAAGCGCGTTCCATCTTCTCGTTAATGAACTATTCTCCAAAATCAAAGCTTAGTTAGTTACATGTTTCCGTTTAATGAAATATGATTTTTATATCGTTTTTTACGGATACATGTTTTCCTTATGGATGGATGTGGATTTAATGAATAATGACGTCAACTGCTAAGCAAAGGTTTTGCAAAACAAAATTTGTCACACAGCAAAGACAGCTAAAAGCTTTTTTGCAAGTTTTTTTGGCCTGCGCATATGCGAACGTGTTCAGTCATAAAAGAAGGAAAAGATCGTTTACAGGCAAAAGTCCTTCCTTTCATGTCGTAAAATTTCAGAATTAATAAAACATGATAATATAGTTGGTTCAGTTGAAAGGAGAGAATTTTAAAATTCGTATTGTATACTTAGCAAACTCCCACCGAATTAATGGTGAATTTTATGGCGGGCAGATTTAGCCCGCAGATTTAGCTTTTGTATAGGGCTACACAAAGACGATGTGCGCTAAAAGTTGCTAAAGTAAATTAGGGTTGTAACGTACCCTTTGAAGTCCATATAATGTCGCAGGATCTCTAACTTGCATAATTGCAAATTGTTCATGCACAGCAGCCTAAATTTAACATATTTATTTGGCACTCAAATGTGCAAGCACGCTGCGAGCATACCTCTCAAGAAAAAGAACTTCAACGAAACGATTTTACGGTACGAGAGCTTTTTTCTTCGAAGGAAATCTTTTTAAAATCAACCCAATGAGGTCTTTACAGGAGCATTTGCGTTGAGTTAACTTATTCGAAATTTTAAACAGACGCTAGCATTTACGCGAATTATTGTTTAAAAAGCGAGATTTATGTGAGCCCTAAATAGCCAATTGTTATTGAGTTCATGGATGCAGGTTGCTAAATGTAGCATTTGTTATATATCTTGAGCCGTAAACCCAAATTCTGACGAAGGAGTACTTTATTCTGGTTGGTTATTTCGGTCCCCTCAGGATATTGTCTTTTGCATGCGTTTCCTCCGGACGCGTTGCAAACAGTGCCATGCAAATGATGATAACTGAAGCAGTATTACGTTTTCTCAAATAGAGTTTTTAGAAAACGCACTGTAAAACATTTCTCATGAACTTCTTTAGTAGCGTATTAATTACTAAAATATGTATGTTTCAATTACAAAACGCCTTTTGAATCATTGAATACTGCTTAGCCAGACCTGCCATTTTCCTTACTTGTAGGGCTTCCAGTAGACAAAATAGTTACGGAGATAATCAAAGATCACGATTGTGCAGTGAATATGGCCATGTTGTATACTATTTCATTAGAATTAAAAAGTGTATGAGTAGCGTTTAGGTATCCAAAAGAAACGCATCATGGTGTATCGCGAGACTGGTTGTACTAAGGGTTATACGGTTCAGGCATTACAGAGGAAAGAAAATGTAAATAAAATATAGAGCGTATAAAATTAGAAAAATAGGAACAGCTATTTAAGTAAACTAATGTTTAGCAACAAAAAGCGCGTCATGTGCGAAAACGGTAATAGGACAAATGGGAAACGAGAATTCGGCAAAAACGTGCTAGTATGCAAATATCCCGAACTGCCCACATTTGCGGTAGCACACTAAGAACTGCCAATTTGCGGGAATTAAGTTAAGTAAAAAATGAATTGCTGCACGTCATTATTTAGTCTAAAACTAAAAAAACACCATACCAAACTAAAGTAAACTAAGTAAAGGAAGGTAAACTAAAGCAAGCGAAAATAACTTAACAATAAATTTATCTAGAAATAAGTTAAAACAAATGAAAGATTATAATAAACTAAAATAAAATGAAAATTAAATTAAAATATAACTAAATTAAGTAGACCAAACTATCTAAACTCGGAGAAAGTCACCTATGAGGAGTGCTAAGCCGAAAATCAACCGTATGCTGATGGCAACTATAAAACTAACTCAATAAAGCAAATTAAGTATGCAAAGGTAAACTAAACAGAAATGTAAAACAGAGATAAATGATCAGGCACAGACAATAAAATAAAGGAGGTTAAAGTTAGCGAAATGTTAAGCAATCAGTCAACAGTAATTTGAAAGAAAGGGGAGATCGGTGATAATAGGTCTAAGTGGTCAGATTATATTTTTAATTAGGGACCAGAGAGGTGAAAGCTTGGGGGATATAGCGCGCGATTTTGATACACTTAGTTGGCAGCGGTCATGGGATTAACGTAAAACAAGCGTTTGGAGTCATATATAAAGTGCCGGCGTCACATTACAAGTTCCTGTGCCAGCGAATACTCGCGACGGCAGAGGCAGTCGCCATACGCCTCACTATCCCAATCTTACGTGCGCAGAAGGCGTTTGTAGCAAGCCTAAGGCTTCTGTGGCCGAAGACCAATTCAGCATCCACCCTCGAGATTCCTAATACGCCGCAAAACAGTGTCGAGGCTGTGGTAGCAAGCAGCCCCAGGCCAACCACACCATCGTGAGACGGTGAAACCTTGCGTCCTCACACGTCTCAACAAAACGCGAGATGGGACGACATGAACTAATTGACGGACCCCTTTCCCTACCCTCCTCCCCCATCCTTTCCCCTCTCAGGTCCCA